TTATTTGTAGCTGCCACTCATGAGATGAGTTACTGTCATTACTGCAGCTGCATCTTATTCACCCACGTTTGTAAGAAGGGCTGGGCGACAAACCTCAAATCTTTTTTTTGTCAGTGTCATAAAGTCAAAGTCTGAGTACCAAAGGTAGCACGGACTTTCTTTACTTGTTCTTGCTAATGTAACTTAACATATTGGAACATATTCTGTATGACTTTCATCTGTAGATGATGTTGGAAGAAAAAGGTCCAGGTAAGTTGGCCTTTCTCACATGTACCAGGAGATTATCCATATTGGATATGTCCCAATAACTGAAAATGCTCTGTGTGGGTTTAAGGATGGGTAATATAAAGAAAATTTGCAGTAATGATATTAATAATGATATTTCTGACCATATAGGAAAAAAAATACAGTTTTATTAGCGCTTTCAGGCAGTAGTATTTATAAGGTATACGTGTAAATAAAGGGTGTTCTTCATCCTTTCCCAATGAGCTGCTGTGATTGTGTTCATTCATTACAGCACAAGTCAAATGTGACTACAAAAGTAGCCTAGGTAGAGTTATGTATGAATAAGTGAAAGTATAAAATAACTGCTTAACACTTTAGTTTAATGTTAACTAAAGTGATTAACATTGTAACTCTTCAGGACATGTGCAGTATTTTCTATTTAGAAAAGTTGCATCTTGTTTGAGCTTTTTAAGAGTTGTGCTTTGTTGAAGGTTGTTAAATTATGTCCCTGTATAGAGACTAAATCATCATCTGAAGCTGTCGCTCTAGTTATTGCACGCACTGTGGACCGTAAACGGAGAGTGGTGTTATGCGTCGTTTTGACTAGCGTCGTCGATACTTTTGTATGAAATTTCATGTATCATGTAAAAATGTATATTTTTTAAAATTTTTATTTACACTTGTTTGGGATGGATTGGAATGTAAAAGCAGGAGGGACTAAAAGTAAACCTCATTTTATCCAGAATCCTGGATCTTGTCTGAGTATTTGACTGGCTTTCATTCCATCTTTGATAACTTTGTCATCTTTCTTTGTTTTACTTTTGGTTCCAAACATCAACTTGTCCCCATGACAACCACGGGCAATCCAAGTGGAGTAGTGTCCTGCTCAAAGGCACTTAAGTAGAGCAAGTGTTTGCTCTTGTAAAAGCAGATATGTCTTTATTTGTCTTTATCTTAAACACTGAGCGCCATCATCTTCGTCATATCCCTTACCATTAACTTCATCCAGTGGGCTCTTTCCCTTCCCACACAATGGAAACAATCCACAACATTCCAGTATGCCGCTCAGTGATGGTTCCCTTGGAAATGGAATGCTGAGAAGATTCCATCACGTGAGTTTGGCTACCAAAGATAGAATGTTTGGGATTGATAACAAATGAGGCGTGACAGCTTAGAGGGCTTTCGTGGCTTTTTTTATTTTAAATCTATATTTATATCCACAGGAGGAAAATGATCCATGAGGCTAAATGAAATTGTGAACTTCTGTACTGTGCAGTTAGTGACGTGATGTGATTGAGGTTGGCGGTGCCGAGTTCAAGTTCAGTCTGCACGTTGAAGTAGCATGTTGAGGAAGACACTGAACCCTGTGGATCTGACATAGAACTAACTAATTAATTAATGAGCCAATGAAGTTAAAGAAAAGAAGGATGCTTATTATTAAAACTCTCTTGCAGATGTGACCAAAGTATTGTAAACGAAGTCCTGCATGGTTCTGAAGTGGCACCAGGCAGGCAGTCAACAACGATTCATGGGAAAAGAGCGAAACATTTAATAGATTTTCAGGGACATAAAAATGTAATGAATCACAGCACCGCTGCACCATCATAATATCATTTTAATTAAGTGTTTGACCAATAAATGTGGCCAGAAATTATTTAGGAGGTGATACGTTGCAGTTTGAATCAATTTAAATTCCTTTGTCAATATGTGAATTGTGTGTTTGGTCGGGTATTTGTTGACCAGCAGAAGGCAACAATCCTCTTAAAGCCTCACATTCAGATGTCACAACCCAGATGTTATAACTGCATAACACACATGCACACAAACACACACATGCACACACACACAGCAGCTCTCATCTCCCAGTCATGTATTACTGAGTCAGACAGTGAGCAGCAGCGATAACAGTGATTTAGACTCCATGTGGTGTGGGATCAGCAAGCCGACCATAAAAAAACAGTAGCAGATGCTGTGTGTGTTCATGTGTGTGTGTGAGGGTGTGTGTGTGTGAGGGTGTGTGTTCATGTATGTATGTGAATTCATAGTTGTGTAAGCGTTATGTTTCCCAGCAGACAGCCATCTCTCTATGGGCTTGCAGATCAAATCTCCATTGGCTCCTGTGAGAGTGTTTATAAAACGTTCTGCTTAAAAATATGTTATATTGTCCTTCATGCAAATGTTAGGGACTGTATTGAATGATGGCTGTAATATTGTAGGAAGAGATTGGATATGTTTTTTCTGCATGTGTTTATAACCTGTTTTCTTCAGACTTTTTGTAATGTTGTTTCTCAAAATAAAAATGATTGATGTATGAAACAAAAGCCATTTATAAAATGCACAGTAAGGTTGTTTTCTGTTTCCTACCAATGACTCCTGATTATAGTCATGCACACTGTTACGTGGGGGAGAAACCATATAAAATCACCTGTTTAGGAAAGTCGCTAACCGACTATTGTAAAAACTGACGAACGATAGGAAGTACGGAGTCACATCATGATATGAATTGTTTTTACAAACCAGCTTGGGTTGCAAATAAAAACTGAATGCAATGGTTTGCATATTTTATAAATATCATCTTTATTTAAAGTACAACACAGTATGTATAAAATATTTAAAGTGAGAAACGGTGCCATTTTAGAATAATATATGCTAATATTTGCTCTTTAACATGAGGAGACCAGTTGCTAAAAATTTGGCTGCTCGGCCGTCCTGGGTCTCCTTCTCTATATATTTAATTTTGTGGTGCTTCACATGTTTTCAGTTGGTAAAAGGTCTGGACCACAGACAGGCCAGTGCAGTATCCTAACTCCTCTTACTGCAAGAAGCTTCAAATCCACCATGTGGCCGAGGCCTTTCTGTGTGGAGTTTGCATGATCTTCTCATGTTTGCGTGGGTTCTCTCTCTCTGGGTCCACACCCACAATCCAAAGACGTGCACTTAGTGGCATTCATTTCATTGGCAATTCTGTGTGTGTGAATGGTTGTCTGTCTGTATGTGTTGTCCCTGCGGCAGGGCGGCAACCTGTCTGAGGTGTACCCAGCCTCATGCTTTATTGTAGCTGGGCCACTGACCCTGGATTGTTTTAGCAGAAGAGAATGGATGGATGGGTGGATGGATGGGTGGATGGATGGATGGATGGATGGACTACAGACAAGCCAGTTCAGCACCCAGACTCTTCTGTAAAGCTATGCTATTTAAAAATTATACAATTCCTTCGTTGAAAAGAAGTCATCTGGACGGGTGCATGTGTTGCTCTGAAATCTGTAAATACCTTTCAGCATTGATGGTGCCTTTCCAGATGTGTAAGCTGTCTATTCTAATGCACTAATACAATCTTCTCTTCTTCCAAAGATGTGATATTTAACCTGCGTTTTGTGGATGGGACACAGTGATTTCTGAAAGTGCTCCTGAGCTCAGCGAGGCGTGCACAGGCGTGACAGAATCACGAGAGCCCAAAAGTCACAGGCATCCAATGTTGAGTTTATTGGCTTTGTTTTTTGCGCACAGAGATTTCTCCAGATTCCTGGAAGTTTTTGGAAAACATTATGCACTGCAGATGCAATGTTTTATTTTATAGAACATTATTCTGAAACAATATGTAGGCATATTTTTTTCCAGTTTGGTAAACTTCTGCCCGTTTTAACTTCTGAGAAACATGTAGATGTTCAAACATTATTAGTTGATCCTCCACCTGTTTAATTTTACTAGCACTTACTGCGGTAAGTATTTATTATATTTGATATTATCTATTGTGAATGAGTGGAGGATTTTGGACACAGCAGTAGTTTTAAATTCTCAAGAACACAGAAACTAAATCAGCAAAATATAACAAGAAAAAAACAACAAACTCCCCCCGAAGAAAAGAACAGAAACCAACTCGAGAGGCAGATGTATTTATCCAGTTGCATAATCCTGTATTTATGATCTAGTGTAGAGTTATAGGAGAAATATTCATCACCAACCAATAATAGCAAGAGCATTATAAATGTGAGTTTCTATTTGTGGCCAGTTTATTGGCTTAGTTCAAAGCATTGTGTAACCTGATCTGACTGCAGCACTGCATGCTGGTCCTCTGAGTATAAATGAAATATGGGACTTTTCCTTGTTTTTTCTTACATGTAAGATGAGGAGCAACCCTCGCTGAAGAAGTTTCTGTATGTGTTTGCAGAAATGTATGTGCATGATTGTGGCGACTGTGCTGCATCGTGACATGCTGTTCATCATGAGACGATGTAAATGACCGCGGTGCAGTAACATGCAGTTTCAGCTTGTGTAGGTGCCGTACGTGTGTGAGACTAATGCTGATGTCAGTAACGTTATGTAACTGCTGTGATGTCACGGCGCTTCTTGGCCCGCTTTCATGTCGAGATCTGTTGTTTTAATCCATGAGGGTCGGCACAGTGATACAACCTGGCTCAGAACTTGACCTTCACCAGGCAGACACACAAACTCGGGATGTGTTTAGAACTCAGAGATGTGAACTGTAAGAAGAATTTATTTATTTTAGTGATCCCTAAACTTGTGCTGTATATTTATTCTGAATGTTTTAATTTGTTGTAAAGATGGAAAAATATGTGTTTTGCTCAAGAAGCTTTGGTAACGTTCCGTCTTGAGGCATTTTTAGGCTTAATTCTGTGACTCTGTGAGAGTGTGTGTGTGCGTGTCTTTTAAGTGGAAACTGTGTCTACTGGCAACCTCTTTCTTGTTTACAGATTTGAGAGCAAATGCCCTTATTAATATTCATGTTTTTTTTCTGTCTCGCTCTCTCTCTGCAGAACTCGTAACCTCTCCGGTGGTTCTCCCAGACCTCGACACACCAAGAAGATTCACTTCATCAAAAATATGAAACAGTACGACACAAGAGGCAGCAGGTGAGCCACACAGACTCCCGCAATTCTGTACCATCAGATTTAACAATGAGCAGTAATACAAACTACTTACTTTAATACTCAGAATCTGCAATACACAGGTACATACCAGGACCCTGAAGGTTCATATCTATATCAAATATTATGATGTCATTATGTTGCCTAGCAATCACCGAGCAAAGAGCTGAAATAATCTGGTTTTAGCATATAAGCATCTATAACACCTAATAAAAGTATCCCGTCATTTTAATTTAATCACAGTGGCATCTCATTTTTATCTACAAAGGTTTAATTATACAGGACATGGTATAATGCCATAAGTTCCCTAGCAACCACCTAGCAACAGGATAAAATAACCTTTTCGAGGAATATAAACATCTACTACCCCCTTTAAAAATAAAAAAATAAAGTTTCTCAGTGTGATCATGTTTTGTCACCAGCAGCACAAACATGCTGAACACTACTGTAGCATAAATATGTATCATTCTGTTATAGCTCTATTGTTAAATATAAGTCTTCAGAGTGCAATTATTTTTCTTGTGAGGTCTGTATAAAGTGCTGGTGACTTTTCTATCCCATTTTTGTATAAATTTTATATTTGGTGTCTTTTAATTTAGCTTTTTGAATTAAAATTATTACTTTTGAATTACAAATGGATGAAAAGTAAAAACAAACAATACTGAAAAACTGAATCTTTGGTCTTGAACTCTGAAAAACAACAAATCTTCAAAATGTTTTGCCCAGGTTTGGCTCCACAGTGAGTCTGAAGTTGTCCCCTTAACTATATTTGAGTTTGAAGGTAAAAAACACGTCATTCAGCTGCTTCAGCCAAGGTGTAGACTGTATTTAGAGGCATGTTGATCCCTAATGTCCCCCAGCATGTGGAACAAGGTCGATGCAGCAGGTTGAGGCTTGTGGAGGTCTGTGAAAGCTTTATGTAGAGGTGCGCTATCAGGAGAGGCTACAATGGCAAATGCTCTGGCTCTTTTTCAAACAGTTCCTCCTACATTGACTGCTCAGGAATCACAATGAAAACTGTGTGGTACGTTTTGTAACGCATAACTCGAGGACTGGCTGAGGCTTTTCTGCTTCTTTCTCATTGGGGCAGTCCTTTGTGACAGTGTACAGAGGTCACAACACTGATCTTTCCGTTATTGTTAAGTCTCTGTCAGAACTAAGCCCTACATACGCTGCTGACTTGCAGAAGTGTGTCGCCTTTACAGCAGGAGAGGAGCCAGAGAAGCCTGGACAGTGTCATTCTGTTCTGCTTAACTCTTCTATTGTATTGTATTCGTGTCCTTCCTTGTGGAGTGTATAAATACAACTCTGGGTCAAAAGGGCCCACAGGGCTGCTCATCACATAATAACAGACTGACTGAGGGGTAATTGTTTTAAAATAGATCCAGTAAAGAGCACCAGTGCTGTTTGTAATCCAGCTAAATCACCATGTTGTCACAGAGAAGAGGAAATGTTAGAGCTGTCTTCCCTCAGAATGGGCTGTTGTGTCCCATGATCCTTGTTTGGGTCGTCCTGGGAGACTTTAAATGGTTCACCTTGAGGTCACCTGTAAAAATTGCTTGTTTACTTCCTTTTAAAAAAGGTTTTCTTTGGAAAAAAGAACCAAGACATTGATTGACAGTGAAATATAGAAACAGCTCACAATAACAGTCATCTCAAGGTGCTTTATTTTGTGAGGTAAAGAACTTAACCCAGGACAAGACAACACTCCCTGGGAATGTACTTGGTGAGAGTGGGGAGAAAGACCTCCCTTCTAACAGGGCGAGACCTCAGGGAGGGACAAGCCATTTCTTGCAACAAGTTGAGTGATGAGTGGAAAGTGAAGAGACCAAAAGAAAGCATAAAGAAAATGGACAAAACATAAACTACTGCAGAGAGTAGAGAAAATTAACTGACTGCATGGGCAGTGTGGTACTTTTCGGCATTTAGCACACCGCAGGCTAGCAGCTGCACGTGTGCAGAGTGTGGTTAGATGCTGCTTCAGTCGATTGTTTATATATCAGTTTACTCTGACATGCCAACTCTCATTTTGCACATCAAAGTGATGGAAAGCAAACAGATGTCATCTGCTTGTTTTCCACCTCACTTGTTTACAACTATAAGTCAGATGAAGAGAGGGCCGCTGCAGTCAGTAGTGCTCGGTGTCATGATATCTTTGAACCAGCAGGTAACGTTTTTGTACTTTAACAGTAAAATATTACTAATTAGTTTAAGTGACAGGTGAGCAAAGTAGGTGACCTTTTACAGTGTAGAATATCCACCAAGATCCACCCAAGAATTGTAAAAGTTCTTGTTATGGTTTTTAAAATCAAATTTATGTAACTAATTATATTTATATATATTTTTTAGTTTATTTTTTGTTTTGTTTTTGGGGGAAAATGGTGAAATGGAGAGTTTTCTGCTCTAGTTAGTTCCCAGCAAGATGAATATGTTCTGCTGTTGCATATCATTTATTAAAAAGCATAATTGTAAGTCACATTAAACCTTCCACTACGCATACATTTCACTGATGAAGCGTAATTGGAACATAATGCTGTCTACATTTGATTTGAAACATACAAAAAAATGCTAAATGTTTTGTCATTTTATTTTTTTTATCTATAAATGTCCTTTGTTTTTCTGTTGTCAGTGTAGCTACATAGATAAAGCTCTGGTTCAGCGGTTCAGTCCTCAGTGGGAACATTGTCTGTTTTCCTTGAAGGTGATTATGGAATAATGTGCCCCCAGTGTTGTGAAATGTGGTGTAATAAATGGATGGGTGCAGGGGACAGACTCCCCAGCACAGTCACGTTTTCAGCAGCTGTGTTGCGATGTCTCTGCTGTTTCCACTGAGCTCCCTGGTGACTTCCTGCTCTTGACTTTCCCATGCATCACAGGGAACGAGCTTTGTGTGTATTTTTGTGTCTCTGGCTCACACAACCAACAACGGCAAATTCAAACTCATAATCTGTCTCGAGGGATGATCAGAAGGGAAGAAGGAGCAGCCTCGTGTCTAAATTGAACGAGTAATGATTCATGCTTTAATGACCTTTAATGTTGAATTTTCCATCGCGCTGCTGCGTATTTAGCTTCCTAAAGAATTAAACTTTGAACCGCTGGGCTCCCTTTAGTCTGTTTTCATCCCCTTTAAATGATAAATCACTTAGTAGTGTAATACAGTTTTACATCCCGAACCATAATTAGCAAACATGGGTTAAAACTGCGCGTCTCTATTGAGCCTAAGGTTAAAGTCTACTGAATTATTTACCCAGTTGGATCCTCATTAAGATGTGCTGAGTGTTTGACCGGGATCATGTCATCTCTGTAAGAAAAACCGCAGTGTTTGGATTAACTGGCTTCCTTCTTCATATGTTTATCCCTCTGTGACTTTCTAAACAAAGAACAGTGTATACAAGTCCACTACATAACAGTTCTTCAGTCTGATGCCAAAGACCAATGCGAAGAGAAATAAAAACGAGTTACTACACATCATAAATTAAATGGATAATTAAAGATACATTTATATTGTTTGGTAACAGTTTTCCAGACTGGCATCATTTAAACAGTCTGTGATTCAAACCTGGAGTCAGACGAGACGGTCAGTGTGTGAAGTGTATATGTGTAGCTACGTGATATTGACCACTGGCTTCTGCACATCAGCACTTTGGCTGCCGTGAGCTTGTTTGTTTGTTTGTTTGTTTTGAAGCCAAAAGTGATCACAGTTACATCGGATGGTGGAGTGATAATTCTAGTAAGCATAGTGAGCACGCTGCATTTGTCAAGTGCAAAGCAATGTCCAGTGAAAGGAACTCTAATGCTTTATAATTTTGGATAATTTCATGCTCCCAACTTTATTGAAACAGTTTGGGGACCCTTCCTGTTCCAACTGCACACCAGTGCACAAAGCAAGGTCCATAAAGACATGGGCGAGTTTGGTGTGGAAGAAGTTGACTCGCCTGCACAGAGTCCAGACCTCAACCCGATAAAACACCTATTAGAGCAGAGACCGTTAGCCAGGCTTCTTCGTCCAACATCCCTGTCGGATCTCACAAATGTGCTTCTGGAAGAATGGTCAAAGATTCCCATAAACACTCCTAAAGGTTCCTAAAGCCTTCCCAGAAGAATTGAAGCTGTTATATCTGCAAAGGGTGGGGCGACATCACATTAAATCTTACGGATAAGTAAACTTTTAACCACTGTCTACACCTTGGCTGAAGCAGTAACCAAGAATGTGATTGGCCAGCTACCAATCACCAATCACAGCTACCAAAAAAACAATTGAAACGCAGTCTTGGAAGTGGCCTGTAAGCAGCTAAACTAAGGATGCACCAATTGCAATTTCACTGGCCAATTAAAGACCAGCTGATATTGATTTTTGCAGATCCTGATTTTCTTTTTAAGAACTAACTGGCAGCATTGAGTAAAAAACCTCAACTTCTCTTCTATGCTAAATATTACGGTCATAATAAAAATAAATGATTAAACTTCACAGCTTCCCCCAAACTGCACTAAGTTACAGCATCTTCTCTCGATTAAACAGCTGAAAATAAAGGGCTCTGCTACTGGAGAGTAATTAACTGAAAATGATTGCACTCTCTTACCAAAGAAAAGTAGGTGCAGCAGATTTATATAACAAGATAAATCAGACACTTATAAACATACTGGAGAATAACATAAATTCATCATACAATAGAACATCTACCCTTTTCTCTTTTCATATGTTTCCAAAACTTTCGTCATAACTGCTTTGATCCTTTGCTCATACCAAGGTCTGGTTAGCTTTAGTCTGGATAGCTTTAGCTTTAGCCTCTTTGTCTTTGTTGTCTTTTTCAAAATATCCATGTTGATGAAGGTGATTTAAATGTATGATTAAGTTTGTTACTACAAATGTGTTCATGGTACCCCCCCCCCAACAGTTTATTCTGGCAATGGGCTAATGACATGCTAGCATGTGGCTATGTGTGTGTGTGTGGCTATGTGTGTGTACGTGCTCGACTCTTTGCTGCTGGCTGGCCAATATTGTTTAATCCAGGTTATATAACTACTTTGATAAATTTACTGCTCGGTCTGCCAGCATCCTGATGAACTATAGAGCCGATTCGTGCCTTGGCTAAATTGGGAACATTTGCTTCAGTTACTCGGAGACCTTGAAACGCTGACCTTGTGTTGCCTTGACAGACAAAGTTGTTCTAACTGTCCGAGAAGCTGCATGTTGGACAATTATCTGTTCAGCTCTGAGCTAAGTGTGTTTATTCACTATGTGTGAAAACATAATCTTTTAGTCTCTTGGTTCCTGAGCCAAATATAATGACTGCAAACATTTTCCTCTTGAGACCAAAACCAGGCCAGCAAGCTGTAGTCTCTGCTCCAGATGGGTTTATACTCAGAGGAGCTGCAATAAAAAACAAACACGGACATGCACGTGCACGCACACACTGTGTTCTCCATAATGAAACTCTATTATATCATGTCGTAGTTGAGCAGAATTGAGGGTAAGGGTGCAGCTGGAGCCTTTAACTCAATTAAGTTGGTGTCAAGTGTGCATTTGTGTGTTTTGCTCTTTAACGGTGAGTAAATATTACGCCATGCTGAGGAGCGATATGATCCTTTAAACTTTCAATCCTTAAATTTACCCTGGGATTTAGCTTTATCTTCATTTCACCACAAAGATGCAGAGTTAGCGTCTTCATTTTGAAACTTTGTCTGTTTTTGTGTGTGTTTAGTCAGCAAAATGCCTCAGATGGAGAAAAGTAATTCAGCTGGACAGATGTCAAAACACGATAACCACTGATGTGTGTTTTTGTTTGTGTTTCAGAATCGTGCTCATCTGTGCTAAGAGGTCTCTGTGTGCTGCCTTTTCTGTTCTTCCCTACGGAGAGAGCTTCTACCTCAGGTAATCCGTACAGACACATCTGCTTATGTACTCCCACCTTCTGCCTCTCATGATGAAATCAAGAAACAGGGTTCGACATAACCAATGGGCTGATGGCAGGGGGAAAAAAGTATTTGTGGAAAGTTGATTTAAACACTGCTGGCTTATTTAAAACTGTTATTTACTGAATTGGTCATCGCTGGCCTAAGTTCACCTGAAGCAAGCTGGCTGAAGGAAACCTTATATATAGTTATCTTCATCCTGCCAGTAGCTGTTTTCACATGAAAGGAAATGTTTGAGGTTGCTGAGATAAAGAGGCTGTTCTACTGGCAGGTGATGCTGGTGATGGCCTCAACAGCGTGGAGGTTTCACTCGCAAAAATAGATTCGTGCAGACCATCAAATGAATTTAGAAGCATGTGAATAAAAAGTTTTCAGAGATTTAGCCCAAGCAGAGGTTTAGACCAGTAACTACCCCTGTCGCTGTTCACTAGGCAGGAAGGAGGCAGCGCCGTAACTAAGAGAGTGAACCAAGTGGAGTGAAAGGAAATGTTTGTCCTGCAGCTCTCAAAAATCCGAGACCTTTATTAGATGGACTTTTAAACATGAAGAAACGTGAGCTTTTCAGCTGTTCCCATACACTGCTGGTTCATCCTGCACAGCAACAAAGAAAATGAATACACAAGTTTCAAGGAAATGCACAAGGGGCCCAGAAAATCACTAGAGGGAACAATGCTTGGACACTTACGAGAAGTAGAGGTAGGGAAGTAGAAGTAGCTGAGGTCTCGTTTCTTCATTGTGAGACAAAGGGACATGAGAGTAGAAGAGGGGATGATGCAGAGGAGTATGAGGGAGAAGAGCTGTTTGTTCGTAGGGGGATGATTTTTTCCCATGTGCATCAGAGCCCTCTGACCTGACCTTAGGTCTGAGTGGCTGATGACTCGTACAAACACCACGATCACACACAAACATCTCACAGTAACGACAAGAAGAAACAATAATGGAAACACCAATAATGCTGTTCTCTCCAATAGACAAGTCATCCTGATCAATTTTTTTCTCTTTGTGTTCACACAAACACGTTTTTTTCTCAGCTGAAATTCTGAGAAGTCTTAGTGCATGTTGTGTCATGTCACACTCGCACCATGCGCACATGTAATGTACGCAGCTATTATCATGAACACATTCTCAGTTCCCTCTAGTTCCCATTTATAGATGGTTTCAGATGGTGCCAGAAGAAACTTACTGAAATTACAAACAAATTAGGTAAGAAAAAATCAATGGAAAATATATTAAATATCAACCATTTTAATTCAATCAATGTTTTTTTTTTTTTTATTAGTTTGTAAAAAGCAACGTGTTATACTTCAGAGTTTCAGCATTTTTGTGTCCTTCATCCCGTAAACGGTTATCTGTTTAGTTTGAAATCTTATTCAAGCCAACGTGCGATTCTGCAGAGGAGGAGGGCGCCGCATGACTCCTGTCATGCAGGTGGTTGTCTGTGGGACATGTTAAAATATAAAAAACTAAATCCAGGAAGTCTGGGAATTAGGTGTAGCATCTTGGAAAGCACACAATCACTATGAAATGAAGACCTGCGCTGGGTGGATCATATACACCTCTGAGGTTAAAGTACAGTCAGATCATATAAGGAAAAGGAAAGAATTAAACCTGTGAAATGAACTGGTATGTACAGTGAAAGGGTGTAAGTCGTATACTGTGTACATCTAGTATTACACAAAGAGTAAGATTATATTTAATGAGGTAGGTTTTTCAGTGTGAATAAAGATGTTTTGTTGTAGCGGTTCCAGAAAGAAATTTATTTGGATTCATTTTCTATAAATCATAAAAATCCATCAGTTTGAAACTAAGTCTGCAGTAAAAAAGTGATAATTGCAAAACAAAGTTGTATTTTTATGTAAATTCAGTTGTGCTCAGGCTGTGATGAACTGCTCATAAATGATTAATTCATCGATTCATTTTCAGTGTCTGTCATGTCTCGGAGCGACACGAGGCTGAACTGTGATTATTAGAGAAACAAACCCCAGCGTGACCCGTCTGAAACGCTCGAGCAGTTTCTTTACGATGCTAGCTGATGGCTTGTGGCAAACTGAAGCTGCTGCTAACTTCTGAATCTGTTTTATGGTGTTGTGAATCTTTTATTGCTGTTGTCCTTAATTTAATTTCCTGTAGGTAAACCAGCTGCATTGAGGGGTTTCTGCTCCAGATGCAGCAGATGTTTGGACTGGTTTCAGCTAGGGCACGAGTCGGAAGAACTGGGAACCAAATATTCCTACTGTATGACAGTGCAGCCGTCTGCTGTGTGTTTACAGGCAGGCTGTTTACCAACATTTTATCAATAATTCTCGCTCTCTTTCTTTTCTTGATGCCTTTTTTTCTCTAGTGATCCTTCGTTAAATCACCCCAGGAGGAGACACTCGTCTGGAAACATCTCTACCACCCTGGAAATGCTGCCGGGCCTAGAGGGTTTTCACCTGGACACCTACGGCAGGGTAGAAAATGTGGACCTACTTCTCATGGATGCTTTTATGATCCAAAACAGTTTCTTGTGGTCAGATCTCAGTTAAAAAAAATCTTTCTCTTTCTGTGTCAGTCTGTGTCATACGCACAGTTCCTGTACCCCACTAACGCGCTGGTGAGGCAGAAGCCGTCGTCTGCCAGCGACCTGACGCTGCAGATTCCCGTTTCCAGGAGCACACACAGCATTCCGGGCAGGAGCTACCCGCCCAGCCGGCTGAGCAGCACCGTGGGACTGGATCTGGGTAAGAAATGGAACCGAGCTCAGTCACAGCGTGCACGTCTCCTAAAAATAATAATGATTCTTTTTTTCTAGCAACAGTTTAAAACTGTTAAAAATAAATTTCACCAAAGATGTGGCCATTTATTAGATGTAATGTAGATAATTACTGACATCAAGCCACAGACGCAGTTAAAGGATTTTATCATGTTAAAGGGAACAACAAAAACAAAAACAACTGTTTATGGTTCAAACTGTGAAACAGCACAGTCATGGTGCATTAGGACTCTGAGCGATATGACTGATCTGTTTCCTTGAATTCTGAGATTTCAGAAAAGAGGCTGAACTGTAACTGCTCAAACATTTCTGGATTGAAATGCTAAAGAAGGATGTAACGTGAGGAAGAGAAAACAAACACAGGATGCTGGGATGAAGAGAGCAAACGAGAGCTGCTGCAGCTGTGCTGGAGCATCATCCTCTTTATATTTTAAACACATGTGTATGAGCATGTCCTCACATCCTGTGTCTGTAAACACACACATCCACAGTGACAGAGCCCTGAATTAGCCTCTAAACCCCTCTTTCTAATCCACAACCTTTCATTAACACAATACAGCTGTGTGTGAGCGCGAGGCCGTGCGCAGCAGGTTCGATATTTTTAGTCCTCTGGTGACGTTTTTCTTTAGACTCGCAGCTCTTAAGACTGATATGATTGTTAAGTACTGACAGAAACACCAAAGACTCGTTTACTCAGAGTTATAAATGGCATAATGTTTTTAGCTGTTGATTAGTACAGAGCTGCTCTTGTACCTGTGCATAGATGCTTGGACCACTGGTAGCACTATGAAAGAAAGCCTGGACGCCTTCTGTTGATTCACAGTTGGTGGCAGCAGAGGGCCAGCAAACACTAAATGGATGAAATGGTGATTGGATGATGAAATGCTCTTTAGGCCATAATATGAAACCAGGTGAAGGCTTGGTAAAGTTCACAGCTGGTTCTCAAATCCATTTTGTCTTTTGGTTCCAGAGGGAAAAAACAAGACAATCTCTGCAGATATCAGAATGATAGATTTTGGTGCTGCTGCCATTTTCAGATCGCACCCAGTAAGCTCTTTTTCGATCACTAGAACCTGCACAGCGGAGGTCATGTGCTGGATCTCCACCACTGCAATTTCATTTTGGGGAAAGAGGACAAAAATCTCTTTGAATTCTGATGATCGGGGAGGTTGTTAGGGAGCAATGTGTTTGGCATAGCCCCAAAAAAGCACAATACTCTGTGCCATAGTTGGGATGCCAAATGTGCACACATGCCCAGGAGTTTGAAGCCAGCCAGCTGGGTGACTTTGCAGAGTTCAGACTTGCTAAGATGAAGGACAAACAATTTAGACTTTTCAACAGGAAGCACTGTATTGCAGCTCAATCAATCTTGCCATAAGTGTGGTTGTTTTATCACTGTCACTGATAAAGAACCAGAATAAAGTGGTTAAACCCCAGGAGCCATGCTGATGGGTTTCTGTAACTTTCTAATGGTACAGTTTGTTTGTAATGACTTTACACTGACTGAATGAGGAAAAACTGAGATGTGAATGTCTGCAAACTGTGCATAAACTCTGTTAACAGTTTAATAAATTTGCTTTTATAAGTTTTTGTGCAATAATGGCCCTCTTAAAATCAACTCCCGTGTCCCGTGAACTAAACTAAGTTCGACACCTCTGCCTTAACGGTTTGAAACGAATGTTAAATGTCTCAGGATGTTGTAGTAGAGCTCTGCACTGACATCCTGGGACATTTAACATTTAACACCTCTTTACGTGAACCTAACTGTTGTCACCAATGCTGATCACCGAGTGGGGCCCTGTCAGTCTAAAGTTGATGTCTGTAGACTCTGTGAGGTTCATGGCAGAAGGGCAGATGTCCTGGGGGTTAAAAGAAAGTAGTGGTTGAGCTGAAAGCAGTTAAGAGGTGCACAAAGGAGTGAGCTGGAGTAGGACAGGAGCCAAATTTCAAGCTGGTAATGTTGCATCAAAGAGGTTTCCCTTTCCCTCAAAGACAAATTATCAGGACTTGGTCAGAGAAACAGGAAAATGGATAAAATTCTCTTTTCCTTAACTGTCTGCAGACAGATCGTGCTTAGATGCACTAAATGTTTTTGTTGTGAGTCAGAGAACTTGTTGATGACACCTCGTGTTACTCTCCCCACCTCGGTTTTGCTCTTTTGACATTATTTCTGAATCGATGTGTATTGTTGTCCAGGTGTGGAGGATGTGATGGATTATGACCCCAACCTGCTCAGTGACCCCCAGTGGCCCTGCGGCAAACACAAACGAGTGCTGATCTTCGCCTCTTACATGGTAAGAAAACACTGCAGATGGTTTGAAATATAGTTGTTTATTTTCGAGGACGCCCACACGGAGCAAATCGCTGACAGCTGTGCGTCTCCTTCACACCACGTTCAGAGCTCCGCAGGCTGTTTGACACCTTTAATGAGCTTTGTGAGAGGACAGATGGTTTTAGTAAACTAATACACTTTGGAGTCTGTAGCACTGCGAACCTGGTGCTGTAGCCCTTACTAGGCTGTGTTTGTGTGTTATCTTATCAAAGTTCTAAAAATAAGCACATTTTTGGGTTTAAGTGACCTCAGCAAGACAGATTTTAAACAGTCATTTTGGCAGTAACTGAATTCGGAGCCTCCAGCCTTAATCTAAATCAGATTTCTTTCTTCTGCATCATCAGGATTAACAGCCTTCATCATAAAGCTGCGGCCTGGTATGGCAGCGATTTGGAGACAGCATTCCCAAATTCTTTTGCCTGATAACAAGAACGGATCTAATATGGGCTTATTCTGAGCAGCTGCTCTTATTAGGTCTAATATTTGTAGCTTGCATCAGTCTGTTGACCAAAAATGTTAATGTTGAGTTAAATAAATCAAGTTTAGTAACAAAAACAATACATGAAAAAGAAAAGTTCAAATCTCAGGAGATCTGCACTGAAAGCTTTGGCATTGGGGGACTTCCATTCAGATTCAGACTCTGTTTCAGGGTTGAGCACACCTCTTGTTTGTAACTCCTGAGTTTATGGATGGTTCAGTTCTGTAAATAAGATTTAAAATGTGAATGAATATGAAAGAAAATACAATAAGAAATGTTTGTAACTGCACTCGCAAGATGCTAGTTTAATCCCAGTATAGTTGTGAACTAGCTGCTAACTAATGCTTGAAATAAGCACCCATTCTCAGATTCAGAGGTTAACACAAACTAAAGTCCAGAAAAGCACCTTGTCATGAAGCTTTGTGGCTGATGAAATGCTAAGCACCACTGTTGAGCTGTCTGTGCATCGCAGCACGCTCATGCTACGTTCAAGTCCCATCAGACTTATACTGATTACCAATTTCCATCTTATAAATACGCTTCTTTGAACTTGTAAACATTGTAATCTTTCCTGTCATCACCAGCCCTCCCCCATGAAATCGACATCAGCATCATGCTTACCACAAGTGTTTGATGTCTGTGATGTTTATGCATCTGTAAAGATCCAACCAGTGAAGTCCTGCACACCCTGTCCAGTGATTAGTGACGGGGTGGCGCATCACGGGGGCCAATCAGATTTCAGCTGGGTCCAGCACCTCTCTGAACACGAGCAGAAATCTTACTGAAACACATGTGAGCTATTAAAGAGCTGTGGTTTCTAAATTAATTAAAAGAATTCATCATAACGACAGCCAAAACAACACGACCACTTTGATCTAATTTGCTCTCGGTGCTTCTTGCACCACCAAAACAAGCTCCGACCTGCCACAGCAGGGATTCAGCAGGATGTGTGGAGGCTCCAAGACATTAAGAGCAGATCCTATTAGTCCTGTAAGATTTGGAGCCACTGTTATTCCAACACATTCTCCAACACCCTCTTGGCGTTTCACTGTTGGTCCGATCTCAGATGACTGTTTGAAGGTAGTCGTCAGCTCACGGGGAGCGCCCAACGAGCCTCGATGTTTCGGGGCGGCTCTGACTCAGACTCATCTGGCTGTAACACCCGTGACTTTACACCTGCCCCTGCTGCTGTTTTTAGGATGACTGCAACTCTCAGCTTTGCATTTACTGTCTTATAGTGGTGACAACAACACTGATGAGAAATGATCCACCTTATTCACCATGTACAGGGTCATAGTGTTTTTGGCTCACTGGTGTGTGACTCATATGAATAACAGGTTCAGTAAAAACTGAGCTGATCACACCAGTAGGTGGTATCTAATCCGTTTAATGTCATCACATGAATTAATGCATCATCCAAGTCAGATACTCTGACTGGCAGGATGTCTGTATTTGGCTATTTTTTTTTACACATTGTAATTATAATGTTGAGTCAGACAATAACATCTGTGCTTCGGGGAGATTAAAAGTGTAAATTGATCACATTGAACCCTAATTTTAATTTCTCATGTTCTAATAAACAAGAATAAAACCGAAGGAGAGACAAACAGGGTGAATAAAACAGATGATTGTAAATCTCCGAGAACTACGAGTAATCAGAGTACACATGCTCTTTTCTTTTTCACTGTCCTAGAGGCTGCGGCTCAGTTTGATCCCTCTAAAGACAAAACACACACACACACACATTCTCATTTTGATATCTTAGTGAGGACATCTCATTGACATAATGCATTCCCTAGTCGCTCACCCTAACCATCAAAAATGAGGGCCTAATCCTGACCCTCAGCCTAAACCTAACCATAACCTAATTGTAACCCTGACATTAAGACCACATTTTGAGCCTGAGAAATGCCTTCAAACTCGTGATGACGGCACTTTTGTCCTCATAAGTGACTGTTGGTCCCCACAAATATAATAATATTCCGATTTTTGGTCCCACAAAGATGTCTAAACAGGTACACACACACACACACACACTGTATCACAGTGTTTAATTCATGAGACGATTACAGCTGAGGTGAGCTGCTTTTCACTGAGCTTACTGTGAGCAAGTGTGTGTGTGTGTGTGTGTGTGTGTGTGTGTGTGTGTGTGT